GGCACAAAGACTCTAGATCAGAATTTGTGGAGAACTGCTGCTGCAAAAAAAAAAAAGTGCTTTCTGGATATGACAGGGATGGCATACTTAAGACTCTACAATGGCTGTGCTGTGGCTGTATGCCCAAGATCTGCACAAGATCAAGTTGGCCAAAATTCTAAATGAATGAGAAGAGGTCATGCTTCTGAGAAGCTACTGGCAGTGCATAGCTGCTGGAGGAGGAAGGGTCAGCCTGTTTCCTCAGGGTGCAGAGCCTAGGTTGTCACGCTCCAGTAGGTGGTCCTATATCCATATATATAACACTAAATGGATTCAATAGGTTAAAAAAGGAAAAAAAAAAACAGTGTATGAGCTTGGGAGGGACAAGTGGTGGTGCAATACAGAGCTGGGGGGGAGGAGTAAATCCGATCAAACCCAAATAATAAGAACTGACTCCTCTAAATTATTCAATGCCTTCCACGAAAGGGATATGATACATCTGTGTGCGCACTCCCACACACAGAAATACTAAAAATTTAAAACATAATTATTGGTAAAAACCAGCAAAGGCTACTGAAATGGTTCAGTGGGTGAGGGTGCTTACCACAGCAGTCTTCTGACTTGCAACCTGAGTTTGTTGCTTGGAAAAACATGTAAGGGGACCGACTCCAAAAGTTGACTCCTGACCTCCATATGCATGTGTGGCAACTGTGCCTATATTCACACATCACAATCACACACATGATAATATTGCTTCAGGTTCAGGGGGTAGGAAAAGGAGATAAGGGGCAAATTATATACTGACTGCGTATAAAACATTTTCCATCTTTTTCATGCCAAGAGGTGGCGGCACAGGCCTTTAATCCCAGTACTTGGGAGGCAGAGGCAGGTAGATCTTTGTGAGTTTGAGGACAGCCTGGTCTACAGTGCAAGTTCTAGGATAGCCAGGGCTACAAAATGAAACCCTGTCTTACACCAAACCAAACCAAACCCAAACACTTTCCATCTTTTCGATTCTTCCTGGTTTAAATAGTAACCTGAAAGTTGGCTGAGGCTTAGGTGAGTGTACAACCTATCACCATCTTCTACCTGGAGCACAACAGTGACGCTTATCTTCCTGTTTGAAGTTAGAACTTAGAGCATGTTAACTATGCACTATTACAAACATCCTGAAATTGCAAGAATGCTCTAACACCAAACCAAATCGTAGAACTCTGCATTGTATAGTCTATGTTCCAAAGGACAAAACTGGATTCATGACATACCCAGACTATAAGAAACTCCAAGCTGGGTGTAATGATGCAGGTTTATAATCCTAGGACTCAGGAAGCTGAGGCAGGAAGATTGCTGCAAATTCAAGATCATATAGTTGGAGGCCAAAATGGGCTACACAGCAAGATCCTACCTCAAAGGCATGTACACCTTTAGGCTCTCCCTTAATTACATTTATGACAACCAACCCAAGTCAACAGTTCCCAAACTCCTCAGTAGTGTCCCTGCACAAAATGGGACAGCTGACTTCCAGAGATCCGACCCTCTAACCCATGACACTGTTCAACAGACTTTCTTTCGATATTTGCACTTTACCTTTAAAATGAATAAACGCGGAGGTGAAGAGCGCAGTACTAGAGCCTTCACTTAGCACGCAGGAGGGCCAATCACCACCAGCTCCCCCAATAAGCAAACAAAATTAACACTCGCCATAGTAACCTCTGTCAATAGGTCTGTGTTCTTCTAAAAAGGACAGTTAATCTGTTTTAGCCATAAGTAACACGAATGTTCTCAGTGGGATACTTGGTTTATCCCATGGCTCTGCGTGTGCCGTACCCACTTCCAACCAGCTTACGCAAAACAGAAACAAACACGGGTTAACCGCCCAGCTATTGAAAAGGGCCGCTTAAGCAGTGACTGACTATTGACATTAAAATCCAAAGTATTTACTTTAAGACTCGATAACCTTAACCCTTATCAATCCCAAATTAGAATCTCACGTTGCTTTTAAAATGTGTCTCGAAAAACCAAAAAAAAAAAAAAAAAAAAGAATCAAAGCAGAGAAAAAATGCGTTTCAATCCCATTACTAATCCCTAAATCTCCGCCCCCGGCTTAAAATTGTTTATCCTCGATCCCTTTGATAAGTAGCATCACATTGTTTACTTTCTAACAGTCAAAAATGCATCTCGCATCTCAAATGTTCTGCCTCTGGGTGATTCTTCATGTTCTGTCTACCCACCCTATAATGTACTATTTTCCAATGGGCAGGGCTTCATCCCCAAGGGGCTGCGCTCTATCCTGGCTGATCGCTACAACAAAGGCGAGCAGCATCATAACCAGGGGTCCCGAGTGCCTCTATCGGGCGCAAAGGCAGAACAGACGCTTTCGATCACTGGGAGCTCGAGAGCGAAGCGCCAGCGTCTCAGCACGGCAAACAGTCCTAATTACAGTGTCGCCTGCACCCCATCATTAGCCCCCACCGGGCAGGTTTCCTCTCGGACAGCAGCCAACAACTCGGGCCGGACAAGTTCCTCCTGGACCCTGGGCCCAGCTTGCCCGAGCCCGGCCGCTCCCTGCTGACCCTGACCCGGCCGCGGCTGTAGACGCGGCCCGCACCGGCTCCTCAGCTCCGCCCGTCCCAAGCCCCGGATGTGACGGCAGGTCGTCCCGGGCGCTCGCCCCTCGGGATGAGCACCGGTGTCCGGGGGGTGGGGAGGGAAGGTTGCGGAGTTTTCCCACCGGCCCGCTGGCCCCAGCACGTACCCAAGTGAGCAGGCTCTCGCACAGCTCCACCCGCTCCACGGACTCCACGTTAAACATCTTCCTGAGGTGGCCGCAGCGCCTCCCCGACCAACCAGAAGCCGCGGCCGTTCAGCTCGGCTTTGAGTCCGAAAGGTCGGGCAGCCGACCGGCGTCTGGCGAACCTTCCCTTCCGTCCGGCCGCTCCCGAGGCGCGGACGCTGGCAGGAGCTCCGCACTGTCACCGGCCCCTCCTTCCCGTGCTCGGGGACGCGCGCGCGCTCCCTGCGCGCCCCCGGCGCCGGCCGCCCACGCCCTCCTGCGCGAGCGCCGCCTCGCGCGAGCAGAAGCCCGAGCTCCACTGCGCACGCTCGCTCCGCCCCGCCCCGCCGGGCGCGCTCCCGACACCCGTTCCCCCGGCGCGTGGGCGCGCGCCCCAGCCGGGCCCTGCGACGGCGGCCGGTGGCGTGGCTCTCCAGCCGCCTGGGGCGGCTCTCCGGGAGCTCCGCACTGCGCGTGCGCCGACGCCGGCGCTCTGGCTTCAGGAGCGGCTGGCCTGGTGGCTGCCCGAGAGGAGTAGCTAGGCAGCCCCCGGAAATGAACTCTGTTCGGTCACACGGACTGGCGCGGTAGTTCCTCCGCCGCGAAGAGGTACGCGCACCCCCCCAGTCCTCCCCCGGCCGCAAGCGTGTGCCGAGGCCACGCCCCCGCAGAGGCCCGCCGGGGGCGCGCACGGCGGGGACTCGGCGCGGTGGGGCTGCGGGGCCGCGCGCCTCGGCGCGAGGGTGGGCTCCGCGCGCCGCCTTCCCCCGGAAGCCTGCGCTCAGCCCTGAATCGCCCGAGCCGGCCCCGAGTCGCAGGGCGAAGGTGGAGCCGCTGACGTGGGCGCGCTTCGGTGGCTGGGGGCGGGTTTGGCCGGGCTGAGGAGAGCCGGCGGTTCCTCCCCGGAGCCCCCTCTCCCCAAAAAAACTTTACTTGAAGTGAGAGAGGGTGGACGCCAGTTCACCAGTGCGTAAGGATCCCGACTGTTCCTAAGGCCTGTTTCCTTGTCGTGTTGGGAATTTACTCCACTGAGGTGCATCCTTGTCCGACTTTTGTTTTTTTTTTTTTTTTAGGCAGGCATTGTAGGGTTTCATATACGTTTTTAGGTCCTAGTGTGCAGAACAGTGCGTAGGACGTACATGTTTGAGGGATCTTAATAAAATGAATTGCCAGGTTCTCAAGAGTTCTTCCGCCCATTACCATCTCTAGCCTGATTTTTGTGACAGCCACTGTATTGCTTTACCGAATGAGTATGCATGTAGTGTAGTTTTCCTTTGAGTTTGAACTTTTATGAATGGACCCATATTGTGGGGTTTTGGCTTTTAAATACTATTATATTATCTGCAAATTCCCATGATTGTCTAGTATTCCATTGTGTGGCTACAGCCTTATATCCATTCTGCTGTTGACGTGCACTTTGTTCCAGTGTAGGGCGTCTCAGAACAATGCTATGATAAACGTTCTTCTACCTGGATCTTAATGCAAAGGTGTTGGCGTTTTCAAGACACCAAGAAACAAGATATATGCTTTGGAGTCCTAGGAGAATTGTGGATTCAAAAGGTACGCCTGCCTCCCGGGGCATGTCAATTTTGATTTGGAATGCTTCAGAAGTTAACTTCCCGGGACACACTTTCGCTTTGTTTTGCAGTTCCTGGAGCCTTCCTCTTGCCCATTAGAAGTTGGTTTTCTCCCTGAGCACTTAGACCCTTCCAAGCAGCATTGAGTTTTTTAATGATACTTTTATCCCCTGCCGCTTAATGATCACATGCAATCGATCATTTTATAGATGGGAAAAAGTCGTGGGCTGAGGATGTTGTGCTGGTTCATTACCCTGGCAAACATCGGGGCTCCAGTTCGATCCCTGGTACCAAAAATAAACACATAGAAAACCTTAGCCGAAGCCGTCTCAAAGGTTTTTTCTTGCAAACATTCTTCTTACAGGTGCAGAAATACCTTTAGCAATCCTAACTTTGAATCTCCTCTGCTTATGACTTCTGTGTGGGTGCCCCTGGATCTTTGTCAGACTAGAGTTCCCGCATTCCGTACCAAACTGTTTCTGTAGAAACCTGTGTCACCTTTCAGTGACTACATCTTGTTGGGTAAGTGAATAGTAAGTACATGTTGGGTTGACTTGGCATTGTCTGAGGCTTGGAGACCACAGCCTTACTGAAGGGACGTGGTAGCTATACGGTAGCCATCTTTATTCCATCTGTTCAGGCTGTCAAAACTTTGATACAGTTGATTTAAAGTATGTCTCTTCAAGTCTGTTGAGTCCAAGGTGTTTTTATGCCTGATGTATCGTTCCTGGTTTATTTTGTGCTTCTAATTACTTTTCAGGACAGAAATTACATCAAAAGCTCCTTGAAAGTCATTACAGAAGCCATCACATTGCTACATGAACTTGGGGGTTGGGGAATGATCAAATATACTTTGTTATGAGGAATTCTAGAACTTCTTTTCCCGGCTTTTTTGTTTTTGTCTTTTTTTTTTTTCTCTGTTGACCTATCACTCCTACCCCTTCCCTGACAGTGTTGGGAAAAGACCCAAGATAGGCGTGTCGGGGGCTTTTCTGAGCGGTCTTTCTAGGCCTTCCTCGGGTGGAGGCTCGTTCTCAACCACAGCAGTCCGCGAACTCAGCAGACGGTGTTTCATTCCATATGACAAAGTTTGGATTTGGCAGTGAGCACACGTGTCCGAAACAGATGACCATGTTTGTGACTTTCCACAATTAGACTGTGGAATAGCAATAAATACACAAGGGGCGGTGACATCAGTTTGTCGGATAATCCCACGTGCCTTGGTAATCTGACTGAGGCAATAGTAGGTCCTTTTATTCCAGTCTCAATTAGTAACATTAACTCTCACATCACATACCACAGGGCGCAAGTAACAGTATCTATATGTGTATATGTATGTTTTACAGTTAAAGAGGCTACAGCAGAGTTCAAAAGATTTCAGGGCTGAGAGAAATTGCACTGATAGGTAATGTACCAGACCAGTGCCAGGAAGGAGCTGCTGGAGTCAGGCTTTGAGAGTGAAGCCAGAGTCCGTCCAGCCACAAGGTAAAAAGCCAAACTGAGGGTCAGGTGGGTGAGCCGGCTCAGCAGTTGAGTAGGCTGTGCTGATAACGGGACCAAGCCAAGCTGAAACCCCAGGGACAATTAGGGAGTCCTCTGCTTGTTGGTCTTTGATGCGTACATCAAGTGTCAGACCACAGGTGGTTGTAGGGCCGCGCCGTCCCAGGTTAGTTGTACCGCACACCCCAGTCAGTGTTGTACTGATTGGTTTTGTGTATCAACCTTGCACAAAATAGAATCATCAGCAAAAGAAGCCTCAGTTGAGGAAACGTCTTGATGAGATCCGGCTGTAAGGCATTTTCTCTATTGGTGTTCAATGTGGGAGGGCCCAGCCCATCACGGGTGGTGTTATCCCTGGGCTGTGGTCCTGTGTGCTGTAGAAAGGTGGGCTGAGCAGCCATGGAGAAAGCAACTTTCCTTCCATGGCCTCTGCATCAGCTCCTCCCTCCGGGATCCTGCCCTGTTTGAGTTCCTGACTTCCTTCAGTGGTGAACAGCACTGTTGAAGTGTAAGTCAAATAAAACTGCCCAAATTGCTTTTCGGTCATTTTCTTTTTTTTTGTCTCGGCAATAGAAACCCTAACTAAGGAGTCTATTACTTTTATTGGGTCCAGGTGAGAGAGTTACACTTTCCATGGTCTGCCATGTTAGATAAGTCCTTGTTCCAGGTTTCCCTGGTATGATTTTAATATGCCCTTGTGCCCTTACATTTTAACTTTATTCCAACACACTAATAGTATGTCTCCCTCTCTTCTTCCAGGAATAAGCCATTTACTAGTGTGTGCTGGGTGGGTGGTACCTGACAGATGGTGCTGTTTGTGGGTCCCCCGAACGGCTTCAGTTATCCAGTTTTCTCAGATGCACTGCTGAAGATATAGCATGGGAGAAATATGAATAATGGTGATAGCTGTGATGCCTCAGCTGACGTGCTTGGCTTGCCAAGCACCGCTCTCTCTGATTGTTCTTTCTTAAACAGGGTTTCTCTACATAACCATGGCTGTCCTGGCACTCGCTATTACAGACCCAGCTGGCCCCCAAACCAAAGAGATTCACCTGCCTCTGCCTCCCGAGAGCAGGGATTAAAGGCATGTGCCACCACCACACCTGACCTACAAATACATCTTGAGACAGTTCTCATGCAGCTCAAGCTGGCCTCCAGCTTCCTGCATTGCGAAGGATAGCCTTAAACTCCTGAACCTCTTGTCTGTCCCTCCCCAGTATGTTTACAAGGTGCTAGTAACGGAGCCCAGAGCTTTGTGCGTGCACAGCAAGCACTCTGCCAGCCTGCATTCCCAGCCCTGTCCTCTGGACTTTAATCACAGCCGTAGCATTTCTAACTTAAAAATGAGAAGACCTACTAAAGACAAGGTCTTAACTGGCGAGCTGACCTGTCCTTACAGTATTTCAAATGCGCTGCTCCCCAGGTGAGGGCAAGTTTATTTTGTGGAAGGGATTGAAGCCGGGTTTATGGGTGCTAGGCAAGCAGTCCATCCTCAGTCTTGGGTAAACTTTTCAGTGCAATATTGTCCACAGTGCAGAACTTTATTTAGTGACTATGCCCATCATTCCCCTTTAGTTATCACATAAGACTTTGAGCATTACCGTTTTGTTCACTGGGGTGTTGGCGAGAGTTACCTGCAATTGACCCATAGTGTAGTTGGGTTGTCTCCTATCATACTTGTAGTGTTGGGTGCTATCGTTTTTCTCTAGAATTTTGGGAGGAGTTTTCTGTCCTCCCTCTTTAGTGTGTGTACACTTGGTAAGTCCCTTTCCTAAGCTCTGTGAGCAGAGCATGTGCTGGGTAATAAGCTGTGGAGGACTGTTTCCTATTCAGGTGCTACGACAGAGGGATGACATCTACTTAGAGACTTTATTTGATATTCAGGAGTTAGAAAAAAGCAACCAGGGTAGGAGAATATCTTTTCCTTGAAGGAACTAAGCCTAAACTGAGAAAATGTTTTATTTTACTTTTTGGTTTTGTTTAAATTTTTTTTTTCTGCCTTTGAGACTGGGGTTTTACCTCATAGCCCAGGCTGGCTTGGAATTGATCATGTAATGCAAATTGGCTTTGAACCCGAAGTGATTCTCCTGCCTTGGCCTTCATGCAATCCTACACTCCAT